GTGCGATACTCCGGGGCGTCAAAGGCGCAGGGCGCAGGGCTGGGAGCCCACAAGGACTCAGTGAGGCGGCCAAAGCATCAGCGCATCCTGACTGCTTCCCGCGGGGCCCGGCTCGCACGGCCGAGTGTAAGGCTGTCGCCTTCCTGTTCTGTGCTGTTGTGAGGGTCAATCCAGTCATCGGCGCCCAAATCAACACACCCGCACCCATGTCAGCCACGATAACAATGTGAAAGGCAGTAGCTCCAATGCGGGCCATCAGGCCAGGCCTCCTAAATCCACAACATCCACAATGCCGCCCGTCGGGTCCCCCCAACAACCGCCTGCAGAAGCGGCCGGCCAAAGGGGCCCGCCCCCGCCCAAACCAGCGCCCTGCCGCTGCGGCGCGACAAAAACGCGGTCAGCAACGCCCCAGGCGGGCCTCGAACCCCGCACCACCTGCATCATGCGGGTCAGGAAAACGTAGTTCTGGAAGGTGTAGGCGTAGCGCTGCGGCTCCTTGTAGAACGCCTGGGCAATTTCGTTTCCGGTGGGGTGTTGTGTGCGGCAACTCAGTTTCAATCGTTCGTGTGGGTGTGGCTTCGGGGTGTGTGTGTGTGTGTGGGGGGGGGGGGGTGTGGTGGTGAGGGAGTTGTGCCGCGTTTTGACCAGAGGGTTCACGGAATTTCCTACAGCTGGTAGTTTGGGGCCGAAACCGCAGGGAGCGTGGGGGGATGGCGCCGTGGCGGGCCGGAGGCAGGCACCACCCGCGGCGCCTCAAATATTCGGCGCGTGAGAAAAGGGAGATGCGGCCTGCCGCGGCCGCGAGACCGCTCCTCTGGCCCCCGTGCCGCGCGAGAAAGAAGGCACGCGCGCACGTGCATTCTTTAGTGACGTCACGTGGCATCACCACCCCCCTTCAACCCCTCTGGTTGGTGGCGTTGTGCCCCTGGATCTACTCACGTCCAACAAGTTGACGTGCCCGCCCGGCCCGGGCACGCTCTGCCACTGCTCCACAGGTTCGGGGACCACCTGACGACATGGGCATTGGCATATTTGTAGACATGCACATGGGTATACCGGTATTTATATAAATGGATCAGCATGGATGGGTGACTCTGGGGCGAGGCAACTGGGTGACAGAAACCGGCCTCCACACAGCGCAGCGACGGACTCGACCCGTCCCCAGCGGAAGCGAACGCCGCAGTGGTAGGGCGGCAGCCGCGCTCGCCCGCCGCCTCAGCACCGCCCCCTCCCGGCAGCCCAGCGCAGCATAGTTTCCGCGTCCACGTGGGCGGGAGCGCGTGGCTGCGACGGGCGCCGGAATGCGGGCCCCATCCGCCGCACACCTCGACAGAAGACGCGTCCAGCCCATTCCCTGTGATGTACTGCAGAAACGTGCTCTTCCCCGCGCTGATGTTCCCCTCAACGCAGAACGTCAGCGGCCGCGGCTCCTGCCGCCGCCCCGCGCCGCCGCCGCCGCCGTTGCCGCCGCCCTCGGCGCCGGAGCCCGCCTCCGAGTCTGACTGGCTGTCGAAGCTCTGGGGTGGCTGCAGATCTGAGTGGCGCTGCATGAGGTCTGAAACAATGCTCGCCACATGGGTCTTGTTTCTGATGCCCACCACGTCCTGGAGGGACCGCGTTTTCATGGTTTAGGAGATTTTGTGGTGAAGCAGGGCGGGGGTTGCGGGTGTCGGCGTTGGCTTGCGAAGGTGCGTCTATGCCGAGGTGGCGCGCGCTCTTGCGGGCACGTGCGTGCGTGCGTGTGTGTGCATGTGCGCGCGCGCGCATGTGAGTGTGTGTGTGTGTGTACATGTGTTTTTGCAGCGGGAGCGACGGGCTGCGGAGCACCGCCGCCGTCCGGGGCCCCCTTGACTGCCACACTCCAATGGGCATTTCCAGAGCACGTATGTGAGTGTCGTCCGCCCCAAACACCCCCTCCTGCTAATCAGGCGGCACGGTGTGTGATGCCCACATGTGTAACCCGGCCGTGTGCATCTCACAAGTCCTCAAATACTGCCACATGTATATTATATGTCATAAGATGTATACATATGTTATATATACAGATAACAAAGCCACCGTAATCCCCGCACCCGCAGAAACTCCGAGGCGAGGTCCCTATCCCCCGCCAGCCGCCCGCCGCCGGTCGGCTTGAACATCGCCATCGTCAGCTGCTCAACGGTCTCTATGCCGCGCGCCGCCATGCGCTCGGTGTACTTGGGCCCCATGCCGCTGAGAGACAGCAGGCTTGCGCGCCGCGCGGCGGTGCGCGCGGCCCGGGGCGCGCGGGGCCCCCGCGGCGCGCCCACCCCCCGCTTGGCCCCCGCGGCGGGCGCGGGGGCGGCGTCGGGGGCCGCGGGTGCGGGGGCGGCGTCGGGTTGGTCTGGCGATGAGGAGAAGGCGCGGGTGGGGCCGAGGCGGCGCAGGAGCGGCCGGGCGACGGCGGCGCCAGGCGTGCCCGGCCGCCGCGTGTGCTGTGCGCCGCTGCCGCCGGCGCATCCGGCTCGCAGCATGGTGGTCACGGTACACGCGGCAGTAGACTGATTGGTATATTGCGCCTGGACCCCCTGAACGGCCGAGAGGGATGCTACGCCTGCTCTAAGCCAAAACGAGGCCAAGGTCTTCGAGGCCGCCACTAGCATGCCAATCGATGCGTGAACATAGTAAGACACTCTGATTGACTTTCATATACACGCGGCGCTGCCTCGGTTGCGGCCAAGGCGAGATCACTCAAAGCGCAAGGCGAGTTGAACAGCCCGTGCAAGAGGGATGTCACGTCACGGGCCGTTTCGCTGACGAACTGCATATGCAACGCGTGTCAAGCCCACGTATGGTACAGCGAACCAGCTGCAGGGACGTTGCCGGTGGGAGTCCCGCGTGCCACCCGGTGTCGACGCAAACAAGAGTGTCAGTCGGCGGCGTCGACACGCCACTGACTGCCATCGTCAGCTCTCTCACGGCCAATAGCGCATGCAGCTGGAGAGAATGCGACTGGAATTGGTTGAGGCAGTGCGGGGACGCGGCAGCAGCACCCCCAACCCTGGGCCCCTGGCCAATAATTTCGCCACCCTGTCCCCGCACCCTCTGCCTGGGGCCCTGCCGCTGCTGTTTGCCGCCGTGACGGCGAGGCCGACTCTACACCCCACATCACCGACGGAGCAGGAGCAGCAGCATTTCTTACCATACTCATCACCAAGTTGTACCGTATGTGCAAAGTCTCCCAAAGTAAACAGCCCAGATTCAGTGCCGACAAAACCCTGCGATGCAGGCGGCCCCCCATCGAACGCTTCCAAGTGGCGGTGTGAGCGAGTGACAGAAAGGAGGACCCCAGCGTCGAAAACAGGCCGACTGGAGGCGCCGTCGCGCTGGCGCGGGCGCCCCTGACCCCGCAGTGCCATGCGATGGCGCCACCTTTCACAAACGGTTGGCGTCCCGCTGGCTGAAAGACACACGCGTCCGCTGCATGCAAGGCCAGGGGATGGGCCTCGAGGCCGCCCCAGAGCTCGTCATACTGCGAGGCTGCGTTCGGGCCCGGAGCACACGCGCTTCTGAGGACACGCATCTGACGCTGCATCACCACACATCTGGCGCACTTGAATCCCCCGGCTTGCAGGCACGTGTGGCAGTGATTGAGAGCGGCGCGCCGCCCAAGGCAGCCCGGCCCGGGCGGGGGAGAGCGGGGCGGTAACGAATGCAGAAGTTGCAGAGGGCGCCGTGGCGCGTCGGGCCGCCGGGCGATGTGGTGACATCACCCCCGGGTCACGTGGTCAGCGCGTAGGCTACCGCGATGACAAAGTAGGTGACCAGCAGCTGGAGGCCCTGCGGGTGACACAGTGACGCGCGGGCACACCATGCAACAGCGGTGATGGCATGTCAAGGGGCGTTTTTGTGCTACTTCAAGTGCTGTGAAACGCGGGTGTTCAAGCGGCAGGCGAACCATCGAAGAGGCAGTTTTCACCTCAAGATGACAAGCATAGCATCAGCTGGCCGAAGGAGCCCACGCAGTGCACGTGTCAAGCAACGAGGCCGAGCAGCAGCAGCAGCAGCAGCAGCAGCAGCAGCAGCAGCAGCAGCAGCAGCAGCAGCAGCAGCAGCAGCAGCAGCAGCAGTGGCAGCAGCGGTGGCAGCACCGCCGTCCCCCCCAGCGGTTGCTGTGTGCGTCCCAAGGTTGTGGCCTTGCAAGGAGGGGGGAGGGGCCAGGGAGCAGGGGGCAGGAGGTAGGGGGTGGGGGTGTCGAGGGGCCAGGGGTTCGCGGGCTCACCTCCAGCCAGTTGGACTCCGCGTCCTGGATCATCACCGCTGTGTGGATGACGCTGAGGACGAGCACCAGGGCGCTGAAGGGGTCGAAGGCCAGGGAGAAGGGGTGGCCAGTGGCCCAGCCGACGATGGTGACGAGGGGGACGGCCAGGAGGGAGATCTGGATGGCGCTGCCCACGGCGATGCCCATGCTGCGGTTGGGGGATAGTGTGTGTGCGTATATGTGTGAGTGCGAGTGTGTGTGAGTGCGAGAGTGTGTGTGTGTGTGTGTGTGTGTGTGTGTGTGTGTGTGTGTGGGGAGCGTACTAGAGTCATGAGGGGGTGTTCGACGCGCGTTCCAGGCTGCACGCAGTGTCGTGTTGCACTGAGTTTTGCCGGGTCCAGAGGGCCCAGCAATGCCCGTCCACCCCGCCCCGCCGCCGCTCGTCGGCGGCTGCCAAATGCCGACGCGGCAACGTCATCCACCCCTGGATGATGACCGGTCGTGACGCTAACCCCTGACCCCCCCCCAAAAAAAACCCAGCCCCACCTGAGGTCCATCTTGTCCTTCATGGCCACGAAAACGGCGGTGATGTGCTCGCAGGCGTTGCCGGCGATGGGCAATATGATGAACCTGCCGCGCGTGACAGGGCACGAGACCAGTTTAGGAAGGGGCCACAGCGATTGAGCCCAGGATGGGCATGATTTTGTGGCAATCTTTCGCCCCTGCGCCACCACAGCCTCTACGTGCGTGCTGAAGCACGTTGCGTGGAGGGACCAAGGACCAGCGAGTTCGCGGGGTGGGGGACGGGGGAGTTGAGAGGGGTGTCGGTGCCGCCGCTCACCCCAGGAAGCTCTGGCTGAGGCCCCAGGTGTGGGACACCTCCTCGATCGCCCCGGTCAGCGACTCGCTGCACGCGGCCACCAGCACGGTGATGCCAGCCAGCCACACGGCGGCGCAGCCGAGGGACAGCATGGCGCCGCCGTGCTCCTCCTCGTCGTCGTCACCTGCGTGCGCGCACATGTACGTGTGTGTGGGCTTGTGTGTGTGTGCCTGTGCATGTGTGTGTGTGTGCTTGTGTGTGCTGGTGTGTGTGTGTGTGTGTGTGTGTGTGTGTGTGTGTGTGTGTGTGTGTGTGTGATCGACAAAAAGAGAAAGGGAGCGAGAGAGAGAGAGAGAGAGAGAGAGAGAGAGAGAGAGAGAGTGCACGGCCCACCCCACCCAGGCCTCCAGACCCCGCGCTGCCGCTGCCTTTGGCCCACCGTCGTCGCCCCCGAAGAGGTCCGAGTGCGACCCCAGCTGGAAGTAGAGGTATGAGAAGTAGGTCACCAGCAGGGCCAGGGCGGTGAGGCGCGACAGGATGAGGACCCTGGGGGGTGGGGTGGGGTTGGGGGCGCGTGGTGGCGTTGGGGGGTTCCGGGCGGCTGTTTGTGCCGGGAGGGAGGGGGTGTCGGA